AAGAAATGCTCTCTCAGTAGTCTTATTTTGAAAAATAAAGTACTATTTCAGAAGACAATAGGCTGAAAGGATCTCAGATCTCAATAATAGTTTTAGATTCAGATTGAAGGGTACCTGACAGAATTGATTAAAACAAAAGGAGGCAAAGGAACTTCAAACTGATTGACTGATCCTGAGGGAGGGGTTTCACCCCACATTTGCAAATGTTGGATATCCTTAAGGATAAACAAACCTTAAGGAAACTTAGAAGGCAGTACAGCAGAAGTGCTTACTAATTGAAGTTATAGATATATACCTGTAGGATGAATGAAAACCCCAAAAATACCTTTCCTAATGCTATACCAATGGGCATTTTAGCTTAACAATCTTAAAATATTCAATAGTATCATGCATAATTCTTAAATAACATAAGTTTCACTTTGATAAAAATTAAGATGAAATGCTTTAGAAACTATTTTATCAAAAGTGGCTCTGGTATATTCATGCAAAGACTTATTGTACATGATTGTTCTTAGTATTATTTATAATAGCCAAAAAGTGGGAACAACCTAAATGTTCATTGACTGGTGAATAAGCAAAATATGGTATGCCCATATAATGGAATACTATTTAGCAATAAAATAGAATGAAGTGCTGACACATGCTATAATGTGGATGAGCCTCAAAAATGTTATGCTTAGTGAAAGCCAGATACAGAAAACCACTTATGTGATTCTATTTATATAAACTAGCCAGCAAAGGCAAAGCCTTCTTGGGAGGGGGGCACCTGACTGCAAATGGACACCAGGGATCTCTTAGAGTTGATGGAAATGTTCTAAAATTGCATTGTGATGAAGTTGAATAACTCTAGATTTACTAAAACACGTTGAATTGTACACCCAAAACAGCTGAATTTTATGACAAATGTCATTCTTTAGGAAAGCTGTTTTTAAAAAGCGCCTCTTAGTAGTGCCAGAGACATTGATGTCAAAGATGCAAACAGTTTGGATATTATTTCAGGAAATGGATAAAAGAATATTTCTAGTTAATATATATTTAGATAATGGGATTTAAAATGTGTGAATTAAAATTTAATAAATATTAAAAATAGATCTTTTACTATTATCTATTTTGAAAAGTTTATATATTCAGAATTATAGGTGAGGCTTTTTTTTTTTTTTTAGGAGAACCACTTTATTTGAACAAACTTTATTTGAACAATAAACACACCTTCCATCAATTTCTTCACAGTTAATCCAAAGAACAAAACTTCTGTCATAATCAGAATTTTCATTTTGCCTTAAATATTCCAAAATTCATCCATGTCACCTTTGGAATTTTAATCTCGCCTTACTTAGATATTGAAATACGGTAAACCTTGATTGGTGGCCAAATCTGAAAGGCAGGAAAATATTATTGTCATCCAAACAGTACTATTAGGGTACTTGGAAAAAATAATATATACAAACTCTTAAGTAAATTATATTTGTCTTTAAATGCCAGCTACCTAATGGTGCTGTAAGATAATTGCAATTGTGTATTTTAAGCCAAATACAATTTTTTAACAAAAGCATATTGAAAGATTTATATTTTTCCAAAATCATTGGATTTACGATTTAATAATCTAGGCTGATACCCTTTTTAGGACCCAGGAAAAAAAAGAAAAGAAATCTCAATGACTCCAACCTGTTTGTATCTGCTGAAGAGGTAAGGCTAATGTACTGCTTTAAAAAGGTAGCTGTTTAACATTGTTTTAAGTTTTCTAATATATGCATCATTTTTTTTTTTTAAGTTTGGCCACCTATTAGATGAAAATATGGGATCCAAGTTTGATAACATGGGCATGAATGCCATGGCTAACAAAGATAATGCAAGTGAGTAACTTAATTTTTAATTGTGGTTTTTAAATAGCCATAACTTAAGAGAATTTCTGAAGGTGTAGTTTTTTGGAGGACTTTTTTATAGTAGGAATGCATAAAATGGTTCCTCATAAGCTGGAAGGAATGGCTTTTTCATCTCTCCATTTGGGGAGCATATAGGATTAAAAAGTAGACTACAGCAAAAAAGACTATAACCTACAGAAGTTGCTTTAGTTTTTTTAAGGAGGCAAGCTAATTTTTATACAGTATGAGTTTGCTTAAGTAACTTTATAAATGCTTTATAGACATTTTAATTATTTCTGAAATGGATAGTTACTGGCTTCTGTGCCTTCCAGTAAAAGTGTTCATGGGAAAAATCTTTAGAGCATTTGTTCCTTTCCTGTCGTAATCTTTTATTTTTAAAACAGTAATTTTGATAATAAATATAGAAGGAAAGTAACAAACAAGCATGGAATTTACATAGTGGATGGGAAATGGCTACTAGTGGCAGACCGGAAGGCCCTGTTACTCAGTAGGATGTCCTGTGGGGCCGCCAAGAGTCTAGAGTGTGGTATGCTCATATTTCTTCTCCTCCCAAAGGTCTCAAACAGCTTAAATGGGAGGCTGAACGTGATGACTGGCTACACAACAGAGATGTGAAAAGTATCATCAAGAAAAAGAAAAATTTCAAAAGGAGGCCAAAAACCACTCATAAAATTAAAAAGCAAAGAAAACGAGTGTTTACTAAATAAATGATAAATGAAAACTCTACTTACCTCTAACTTTTGCTGTTCAACCATTTTTCTTGATCTTGTTCTCTGATTCCATACATTCCAGAATGTTCCATGGATTTGTAATAAACTACAATAAAACATAATTGTCATTTATAAAATCATGTAAAAATGTTAAAATTAAACAATATTGAGAAAAATCAAACTTTTTCCTCGCTACATATTTCATGTGCAAGCTCTAGTATCTATACTAAGCATTGTAATAAGCACTATTTATTAAGCATTACTTTATACCAGATACTGTGCTAATTACATAATGTCATCTTATTTAATCCTTACAACAATTTATGAGGTGGGCATTATTATCTCCACTTGACAGAGAAAGAAACAGCTCAAAGAAGTTAGGAAACTTGAGAGCAGTTTCAAGTTTTAAGCTGTGGTTTGATTCTGTCATCACCTCACATGTCTCATTCCAAAGTCCACATTCTTGACCACTTGAATTACGAGTCCAGCACATTAGCTAACTGCTCTCATCTAGAGAACACTAGATGAGAATTTACTCTTTGATCTCAGAGTTAAAATGCAGATTAATAGTACTTTTTTGGAAATTGACATCACAAAAAAAGTTTTGTGGTCTTAACTTTTACCTAAAGAAAAACATACCTTCCAAGATTAAGGGAAATTTCTTGCTCATTGTTTGCCTGAAATCTGATGGAACAAAAAAGTATTAAACATGATTAGAAATTCATTATGTTAACATGTAGTGCCATAATTTAGTGCTAGCTTTAGGGTCTATAAAATAGAAAACTCGCTAATTAGAAACTTGTATTAAGATCCTAGTAATCCAGGAACTATCCTTTTGGGTCTAAATTGTACTGCCTTTCAGCCTTCCATAGTTATTTTGGAGTTTTAAAAATTTTGTCCTGTATATGTGATGTAATTTATTTAGAAGTGGTATTTAAAAGCAAATTTTCAACATTAATATGTAATTCTCTGATGTAACTATTGTTTTTACAGATGCAATTTTACCTTGTTTGGGGATTATAAATAAGACTGTACTACACCCAGTTTTTAAAGTTGATCTTCAATTTGCTTTTAAATACTGTTTGGATGTTTTCTTTTATACCCCTATTTACAGTTAAATTTACAGTTTAAAAGTGTAGAGACTGAATATCCAGTAGCATCTTGAGACACAGTGTTCCAGTATACCGGTACAGTACTTTAAGAAGACAAATGACAAGTTTCAAAGATGGCTACCACCCTGGACTACTTACTGGTTTAGGGAAAGCAGCACTTCCTAATTTAAAAATCTATGGGCTCTAATATAAAATTTAGCTCCACAAAATGTCAAAAAGCACTTTTAGTGATGGCTAGTGGCATGGGAAAGGTTTTTAGTGCCCAGTATTGATGCAGAACTCTGCTAGCCTAAGAAACTGGTTACAATTCGGCTATGCTACCTCCTTCACAATCTACCAAACACAGGTGTATTTCTTCATCTGTGCTCCCAAACTAAGCCGTACCGAGGACACTTACTGTATGTCCCTCACTAGTAAAACCCACAGAAGTGTGAAACATTTTCCCTAGTCTACAGACATTAACAATTTTTTAGGAGGGAGTTAAGAGTCATTTAGTCTATAATATTTAACACTTAGCCTCCCCTCATGCCCATAAAAATGCTCTAACAATGCTGAATCTAAAGAAGCAGTTTCTCTAAAAATGCCATTTAGCACCTAAAATGCATTAATAAACTGTATACCCTACCCTTCTATAAAAACATAACTTCTGAATTATGATTACCTTGGCTTGTGTTCATCTTATTAAACAAACCATATGCTCCAAAAATGCCCACTAATTCAGCTACTAAAACTCCTCTAAAGATCTTCTTTGCCAGTGGTTCCATTGTCCGGGCCATCCTAAATTTAACAACAAATATACGTAAACCTAAGTAAACATACCCAAACAGTACCACTTGTATAAAAGTAACTCCAATTCATCCCCACAGTTTGATTATCTGTATAGGAATAAAATACCCCAAAGTTACTGTGTACTTATTTGTATTAGACATACTTCGTTCCTAGTTTTCAATCTCCATGCCCACAAGGCACAATGAACCAAAGACAGGATTGGATAAAGCACAGAGAATTGAGGGAATTGTAAAAAAGAATTAATTTATGGAACTACAATTTAAAAATCTGAGAATATAGAATGGTGGGAGATAGGGTAAATGATATTTTTTAGCTGAACTAGGAACTAAGATATGATCTAATGGGCACAATATGTGAAAACAGTTGTACATGTTTTATAGTTGGAGGTTTTCATTTATACAACATATATTGAACTATGTGCCACAGTCCAGGCATTTTATACAAAGCTGAGTGATTAACTGGTTCTTGTTCCTGAGGAGCTGTTATTCTATTTTCAAACTAAATGCATCACCTAAAACCTTGTTAAAACTGTACATTCCCGAGTCTCAGCCTGCAATTCTCCAATCCCAAGATTCTGATGCAGCAAGTCTACACGTGGCACCCCAGTAATCGGCCCTTTAGCAGGCAATTCGATTGATGGGCCTCCATCACCTAGTAGGTGGCAAGACTAGACTTTAGATCTTAATTCTCTTCTTGTAATTAAAAGCTAATCAAGAGAGGATGTGAGTATTCTCTTTCTCTAAAGAAAACCTAAACAAGGAAAAGGGCTATATACCAAGAAAATAGCATAGATGACTCTTACTGAATATATGAAATGTAAACCCAAGTTTTTTACTTTGCCTCCTTTTAACTCTAAAGTCCAGAACAACAGGATTTTAATCTCAGAATTCTGATATTGTCCTGTATGTGCTCTTTGTCACACTGTTCACTGTCCTTTTGTGCAGAGATGGTATGTTCAATACTCTACAGTCCCAGTTCTCGCTCAATGGGTTTTCTCCATTCTCTTTTGACTCCTTTTCACAATGCCTGAGGGGGGCGGGTAATTAAATACCCTACCTTTGTAGGATTGCTCTACTAATATTGTTACCAGGTGTCCCTTCCTCCCAAAATTGCCTGCTCTCATTTTGATAATATGATCACCCTGGGGACTAAAAGATTAAAACATTCTTAAATGATGCAGAGAAGTTATACACACATACACACACATACAGCAAAGAAGCAAGTGAGTGGGTGGGGAGGATTGTTTTGCTGTTAGCTACAGAGCTGTCAGTTATTGACAAGAAATGAGTCCTGATCAGTACAGGGCACTGTCTTGGGGTTATTTTTAATGTTCAAGGGGCGAAAAGAACAAAACAAGGCCTGCCTGCAGCCAGATCCACAGTGTAAGGAATCCAAGTAAAATTTTGTTTTGTTTTGTTAGGAGTAGTCAAGGCTAAGAGTTCAAACAAATCCAAATAACACTGTATACATAATAAAGCATTTATCTTTCCTAAATATGTATGTATACACACACATTTTACATTCTAAGTCCCTCAGCTTCAAGAGAGGTGTTTATAACGACAGATAAAGCCCCATTTGATAAAGACCACCCAAAGGCATACCACCCAAGACAAAGTTAGTTTACTAACTGGCAGAGGAAGAACGAGATTAGAGATTTTGATGGAACTGAAGTGAAATTTAAAGCAGTCCTCTGATGGGCTCAGAGAAAAGCAGAGCTGTATATCATGGTGTTAACTTCACACTGGGCTGAGAAGTTGGCTCTGGGTGCACAAGCTTAAGACAAATGTTCAATGTCTGAAAATCCCTCATCTGTGCACCAAAGCTGGAAATCAACACGGCTCAGTATTTCTAGGCAACGTGATTTCAAACAGCAAGGTCTCTCACAGTCTAGATGTTGGAGAACACAGTTTCTCTGCTACGTCCCTAAGTTTAATTAGCAAAAGGACTTTTTCCAGGTTCCAACTGTCAGTAGCCAAGCAACCAGCGAGGTGTCTGAGTGCGGCCTCGGACAGGCTACCTACGATCCTCAGCCCCTCGCGGCCCGCCGCGTCACTGGAGCCTCCTGCTCCCCAGCTTCCCGGTTCTCCGTGCAACCTGGCTCCCCATGGCGCTCCACGGCCCGCCCGGATGCCGGGACGCTCCAGCCCAGCCTGCAGCTGGCACGCGCTGGCAGCGCAGGCTGCACAGCTGCTGCCGCGAGGCCAAGGTCGCCGAGGGACCCGGAAACACTGGGGCCAGCCCCGCGCTCCCTTCAGCGGACTACAGACAGTAACAACCTAATATTCGGCACGACACGAGGACTCTAGCGAGGTCCCCAAAAGACCTGACCCGCTCCCCACTCTCGGGAGCCAAAGTCAAGAAACCCAACTAGGGTCACACGCTGAAGTCTTACCTTCGTCGCTGCACGCAGGGCTGCGCATGCGTAAGAGTTGGCAGCGCCCCTCTCCTCCCACGTGGGCCCCGCCCCCACACCGTAATTACCGTTTCTCCTTCTTTGCTAAGGGGCCGTTGGTCCTGCCTGCAGGATACGGTACATTATCTTATTTAATCTTCACAGCAGCCCTATACTGTGAATATCTCATTTTACAGAGAAGGGGAAAGCCTTGCGCTGCCCACAATCACTCAGCTAATAAGAGAACTGGGATTTGAACGCAGGATACTGACTCCAAAGCTTGTGCTCATTTTCTACACTCTTCAACCCAAAATGCGGTAGTTTCTGAGAATCAGCAATAGCGGCCTCACCTGGGAGCTTGTTAGAAATGCAGATCTACAGAATCGACAGGCATTTTAGCCATATCCCTAGTTTGCAAATTAAGGCGTTTGCAGATCAAAATTTGAGAACGAGTGCTCGCTTTGGCAGCCCATAAACTAAAATTTGAGAAGCACTACATGTACCACCCACCAGGTGGGAGGAGGAAAAGAAGGGAGAATGAGAAGGGAAGGAAGAGAAGAGCAATATAAAAGTATATTAAGGTACAGGTGAAAACAAAGCCTGGAATACCCAAAATAGACACAGATCTACCTTCACTCTATAGTCTAGCGAAGAGTAAAATACATCCACAAATAATTAATGAAAAGCACACAATGATTAGGGCCTTGCTTCTGATCAGAGGGTTATATCCATGAGGTTTGAGGGAAGGGGTGATAGTTGGGAGCTGGCTTTGTCAGTGCCAAGTAAGGAAGTACCTCTGAGGGGCTCTCTGTCCCAAATTTCCTATTGAACTCCCACAATCCAGCCTATGTGGTTCATTTGCACAACTAAATTATCATAAATTGTGGAGAATGTGGGTGCGTAAACTATTTTCATTTAAAGCTAATAATATCATTATTGGTCAAGATCCCTAAGGAATACAGAGATTCAGATCCCCAATCTCTTCTACTATGTCTACTTTACTGGTATTCTCTTCATGTTTGGGCTTCGTACAGTCTCTTGATCTATCTGCTCTATAGAAACTGCCTCTGGGTTGAAACTTCATTCTATTAATGTTACATATCTGATTTTTCTCTCAAGTTTTTCTCATAAGATCTCCTTTTGCACTAAAATAATTAGCAAAATGACTTTTTCCAGGTTCCAACCGTCAAGAGCCAAGCAACCAGCGAGGCACTTGCGTGTTATTTTTACTTTGTTATTGTTTTTGCTGCCATAACTTATTTTTCTCAAAACTTTTTAGAACTCCACCCCCAGGCATCACCTACACTGTTGAGGTTCCCCTTTCCCTTCCAACCAGGACATCTACAATCTTTAAAGATTCAACCCTATTCAAAGATTCACTCACAATAAATAATAAACATTTCTCATTTTAAAAGCAACCTTTATGACTTCAATAATTTGTTATATATACACATATGTGTGTGTATATTAATCATTTAAGACACTACTCTATGCTGCCAGGCCCTACGACTTTGGTTTGAAATGCTAGAGCATCAGTGTTAAAGGTACTAGGATGACAAAATAAGATAAAAAGGTAATTGGAATGGTTCAGACTGAAAAAAAGAGGAAAAAAATCCTTGATAGCAAAGGTGGAAATAATTGCACAGAAACTCAATCACTTCCGTTAGGGAGTGTACAGAAACTAGTTAAGGGAGGTTGTTAATTGGGGTGGGAGTTTCCCAGTATCACACAAAACTTGACATCCTCATATTCCTTTCTTACACATCCTGGATCTCACTGTAGATTTCACAAACATGTTTTGAGATAAAAGACCATTTGGCCACAAGGTTTAGGGCAGGAAAAGTGGAGACTCTAGTGGAGACTCATCAAGTTGATTTGGTCAATGATTTGGGGTAGAGGACAGAGGGTGTTGGGACAGGTGGGAGAGACTCTAGTGGCAGATTTTCAAAGTGGCACTGATATAAGTGTCAAGTAGAGGGACTCACAAGTAGCAGGTGTAAGTGCTACATAATTGAGGAGGAGGGGGTAACTAACCTGCCCCAGCCCCAACCCCATCTGCAAATGCTCAAGCTCTTCAGTTCAGAAATCCAGTCAATCCTCCTCCAAGTCTCCAGCACCCTTCCCAAAGAGTCCTGTACATTCCCAGTGTGATCCTGATTTGCGCACCCTTCCCAAAGAGTCCTGTACATTCCCAGTGTGATCCTGATTTGCTCACTCTGGCAGAGAGATGCAAGTGGCCAAGAGGAAATTCTACTTGTTACATCATGCCCCAGGCACAGAAGCTGGCTAGTCTCAATCTTCTATAGTGATTAGAAGTGCAAGGGCAGCAGGGATCTCCATACTTATAAGTACCTACGAAGTCTGCTCTCTCTTATCCCATGGTCACCTTAGAGGAAGAGCAGCTAACCAACCTGGCTGAGATCCTCAAGGTAAAACACTGTCAATCACCTGATATGAGGCAGCGGAAATTAGTCTAGAAGACCCACTGAGGGTGGGTGCCAAAGGGCACCTACTGGACAAGAGAGGCCCAGTATCTTGGTGATGGCTCAGGCTTCCCTTCAGATGGCCATAGGACACACAGAGAAGTGGAATGCTG